TATTTTGAGAAGTTTCTTCAATCATTTGAGACGTTTCATCGAATCTTTTGGAAACGTTCTCAAATTTATCATAAGTTTTTTTAGAAGATTCTTCAGTCATTTGCGACATATTTTTTATTTTCGTTAAGACTGCTTCTTCTGCTGACTGGAACTTTCAGTCGTTCTTGGAGTATTTTCTTGGACCTGCTTCAGTCTTCATCGCGTTCTTCTAGTTACTCACGCAACTGTTTTACTAAAAGTTCTACTAGCAGCATATTTGGTCAGGCACACACGTATTTTTTTAAATGTTCTTTCGTACAAAGTTCACTACTGAACTACGCGGATGTGCCCGACGAACAGTACCTTTCAAAAGTTCAAAAGTCTTTTTCAAAAAATTACTGCTGAATTTATTTTTAAACCTCACACCGGACACCAACTGTGGCGAGTTTAATTAAACGAGCGGTTCTAGATGCAACCGTTACACAGGCCACGCTGAATGCATGTTCGTAACAATATATTTACTTTTAACAAGTTGATTCGAACGTATTCAGAGGAAAATGTTTTACCTATATAATATAGTTTTCTGTTCAAACCGATAAAAAGCGACACGGAATCAACAAAAAAAAAATTATTGCCTATTCATTTTTTTTGGTATCTAAAACCATTATTGGTCAAAATAAATTTCAATATGCTTCTGCGTAAATTTAGGAACCAAAAACAATAAGTAAGTAGTAAATTATATTCATATACCAAATAGAATGCAACAACTGAATAGTAAATTAAAATCACTTCCTATACAATGGCAGCGAATTAGTGGCCCGAAACTGAGACTGCTAAATTAATCCCATGTTTTAAACTCTAAAATTCACAGCTATTCGGTATATCGTATTGAGAGTGCAACAATCAGCGTAAGAGAAAAACATTGCCAGGATATGGGTTCCATTTGTTGGATTCACAGTTTTGGTTATACAATAGATGGCGCTTACTAATTTACCTCAAAACCTAAAGTGTAAGGGTGTTGTTTGTTGTACCCATCGCCTTCGTTATGTAAGATTCTGGGCGCAATAATCCTATATGTATAATGTATTTTAGCAGCACAGAAAACTGAAGCTGTATATTTTAGGCCAATTATGGAATCTACCAATCTTTTATCATAATTGAAACAGCGAATATTGATACTTACTAAAGGCGCCAGAATGGTAAAAATGGTCTTCGTGGACGCCGCATCTAAGCTATTCACACAAAACTATGGGTGTCATGTTTGAGCTCTCTGCGCTGTCCTTTGATTATCTGATACTGATAGGACTCGTATTTTCCAAAAACGTCATGCTCAATTGATCCAATAAATCAATCAAAGGGCGAAATCAGTAGCTACATTATCTTTGGGTAAAGTTCCAAAAACATTTTCAGCATTAAATTTTTTTATGGATACATGCTAACGAAGGCAAAAGGCGCATCGGCGGCCAGTCAGGTCGTGCATGTGATTGTCATGTCAATGAATGTTCAATTTCATCTAAAATCTTATTCAATAACCTCCTGAAATTAATAATGTATACACCTTTTAGTGTCCATGTTTCGCCGGAATCTAACAGTAAGTTCATATATAATTTTTTCCAGTTTTGTTTTTCCCTATTCACTGAAATCAGTACCTACCAACTGTCTAGTAAGTAAATTTAATAATTAATTGTGTGCTATGTTGATCAAAGTTTGACTTCGACTGGAATTTACTATATAACCAGGCTGGCGTGCTCATAGCCAATACTATATCAATGCAGTTTATCAACAAAATAAATTTGCACCAATTAAATTAAAACAAGACGAAGGTTTAAATGTCTATTTTATTTTTGAAATTTTATAGTCGGTTATATATTAGTATTTATAAATGAAAAGTTTTTAATCAAAATTATTGAAAATACATTTCTATTATTCTTCTTTTTTGAATGAAAGAAGTCTGCAAGAATAAGTTTATTTCAGGTATTAATAAAGTGTGTGAATATCATAGACATAATAAGAATATCATATTGTTATTCTGTCTATGCTGCTGAATATATTGTATATTTCCGACAATGATTCTGTCCATTACCGACAGATGGAGCATTAGTAAAAGATAATTATTGTTTTCTGAAACCTTTATTTACATATCACAAGGATTGATAACACGAAAAATAATATATATATATATATATATATATATATATATATATATATATATATATATATATATATATTAATACTAATCATAATTAGAATAATTAAATACATAAATATCATAAATTAAACTATCAGTACACACAAATAATAGATTTCGTAATACTTCCAAATCATATTACATAATTTATATTTCCAAGAAAACGATTGAAGTATCTGCAGATCGCAAATTTTGCGTTAAATAGTTAATTATCTCATGAGGAACAAATTTGTTAGTCAAAAACATAAATAATAGTATTTTTCGAGTGATGGAAAACATGTAGGGAAAAATGAAGGGAATACATTCATAATAAAATATACTCAAACAATAGTACAACTATTATAAAACAATCATTTAAGCTAAATAACACGATTCAAACAAGATAGAGAATACTGACTTGTAAAATAAAAAAACATATGCCAATAGAATGTTTTTTTTTTTTCACCCTACAGACAAAATTGAAGATACTCTTTATTCATCCATGAGTAGCAAAATAAAAATATATGTAGACGATAAAATTAGAAATGTTGGTTTGTAGCATAGTCGATGATACGATATAGCTTAGAATATCACGCGAAAACTATGTTATTTAAAATCGAAATAGGTACAGGCTTCTGCCATGCTTCTGCCCTATTTCCAATAATAGTAAAATATACTTCATCTAATTTACATACCGATGCACGTCATTATCTACGTCAGAGATCGAAGTTGACATAGTTGCCAAAGTATAAAAAAAAATCCTGACTCTATTTTAAATTAAATAGATCACATAATTATTGCAAAAGTATTACCATCTCTTTACAACGACTATTTAAATTCTTACGTGACATTTTTGAAATAAAACACACTAATTTTGTTCTAAAAAGAACAGATTTTATTAAATAGGTAAAAATATAAAACAAGAGGTATTCACTTTAAAATTCAAAATAATAAAGTACAAAAAGTGTCAACACAACAACTGTCAAATAAGTGTTAAGTATCAATTTATGCTAAAATTTCACCTTCGTTCGATTACAGTTACAGTGTGTTCCGAACAAATGTTCTTCATTAAAACGCTTTATAATAAAACGCATTTATACAAATTAAATGAAACATATTGCGTATTTCTTTAAGTTAACATTAATAGAAATTTTTAAATATTATTTCTACGCGTATATAATAAAATATATCTAGTGGCTGTAATGCCAGTGTACTCGGCAAAGTGATTCTAAAAAAGAACACACCTAACGCCTAAATATGTCGTGTTGGTATCTGTGACGTCACGGGCTATGACGCCGATGACGTGCATTGTTATGTACATTAGATGTAGTGTATGTTCAACAAAGAGCAATGAGAAATAATGTTGCTAAAATTTTCCTTGGACTATATAAATAAAAACATACCCAACACCACTAAATGTATGTCAAATTTAAAATTCAAATTAATACATTCTGATTTACAGTGATAGCAAAATAAATATCGTTGTAGGTCGAATAATATAAGGGTAATATTTATTTATGACACCACTAATCAATACTACCAACATAATAGCAAAGAATTTGGCAAAATGGTCATTTAAAATTGGTTATTTTAAAGCCCTAATGTTTTAAGTAAGTTTTGTTGCCAAATAATGAAAATCACTCAATAGGATTGAAGTCAGAAAGATCATGAACTCACTAAATCAATTCCAAAATACCTTAATTTTAAGCATAAAAAATAATAATGGATCGCAAAATAATGTAACTGGACATTGCAGAATCGAAAGTAATGATATTGTGGATATGGCCGCAAAAAGTAATCACAGTTGCCACCATATTGACAAAGTATTTAATTTAAAAGATTTGAACAATGTTCTCAAACCAAATATTAGTTGAAAATGGGAAGGTGATTACAAAAAATGCGAACAAATCTACAAATCATTACTATTGTATTTTATAATTCACCCTACAATTTCAAAAAACATTCCACCTATAATTATAATAAAGCATAAATGTCAGTATTGACTCGTTTAAAACTAAACCATGGTCGCTACTTTTCATTCCACTTATGTAAAATTGGTATATTTAACTATATCTGTATTTATGACAACCATTGATATTCTAAATCATATATTCCTCAAATGTTGTCTAAATTCTCGGATATCTTCAATTCTACCTCAAGAACTAATTCAGTTTCCATTGCCACTAAATATTACAGCTCTCCTGTATTTCTCCAATAAATCGGTACTTAATGCCATCATTAATGTTATCAGAAATGCAAAAATAGTGGTATAGTTTAAAGAAATAGACAACATGATAACATTTCAAATTAATAATTTCCATGTTTTGTGATAAATAGATTTCTCACACATAAACTCATAAATTTATTTTTATCATGAAATCATTTGATGTTCAAATTGTAAAATGGGGCTTTAGGTAAATTTTATATATTAAAAAATAAAATAAAATTGATTGATTTAACTTTTTTAAAAGAAACTTTTCCAGAGACTTCCAGAAGGCTTGAAGCCAAATATTTCAATATCCACAAAAGTTTCTCGACAAACAAGAACAATATTTTAAAGTCCACGGAAGTTTCTTGACAAACAAGAACAATAAAATACTTTATTCGCCTCCCAAGAAAAAAGACAGTAGTACACATTGTTTTAAAATGTTTTTAAATATTTCTTATGTCCTTATTAATGAACTATTTAGACAGGTAGAAAAATAAATGATAACAGAATCTATTTTGTTGCTGGTGTGAATAAAACTCATAAATATGAGTGTCCTACTAATAAAACATCATTAAAACTATGTTTAGCTGGAAACTACAAAAATATGACTTACAACGACATTTGTTTTACTTTGACTTAAGATGTTTAAACATGGTATTCCCCACCATCTAATTTCTCATCAGAAACAATGTTAAACAACCACTTAGCAGTGCTATCTTCAACCCACAAAAAATCAATCAGTAATCCATTGAAAATTCCTAAGACAATGCCACCAAGAACATCCATTATATAATGTCTGTTCATTAAGATCCTGCTGAGAGAGACTGATATGCTCCAAACCCATAGAAAAGGTACAAGAAGAAAATTTAAAGGCCACAATTTAGTAAAAAAGTATGCTGCAAATATAGACCTACTAGCATGGCCAGATGGAAAACTAAATATGTCAACGTTCATTGCTAGTGGATCATCTTTAATATTTTTTGGTGGCCGCTTGCGTCTGAAGTAGGCTTTGGCTACTGCTACTAGTATTATATCAGTAATAAGACCTGAAAATCAAGAAGTTAGTTGATGGATTTGACAAATCATTAATGAAAAATTATGTTTTATTGTGCTGACACATTTCAAAGTCAACAATTAATTAGTATATAGACTGTTTGTCTTACAGACTTACCTAAAAGCATGTTAACTTGCATTTGCACTAAATTAGGATTATTAAACAACCAGCTAAAGGCAATCCAAAATGCAAACCATGGAATTCCATGGCAAGAAATCTGAAAAATGAATTTAAAGTCAAATTATATAATTTCTTTTTAAATGTTTCTAGTTGTATATGTTTTCTTGAGGTGCCTTAGGACTATGTATATCATTTTTTACAGGTAGATTAAAAACAATAATTTTTAATGTAATAACTTAATACAATATGTGTAAATTGAAAACAATTGTGGCAATATTTTTACTGTTGTTTGTAGTTGTTGTGTGTATTTTCTTATGGTTGTTAGCTGCTACACCCACAGTTTCTGTTTCTAATTTTCTTACATCTATTTTTATCCACAAGGAAAATGACACTCCTGTAGTTGGCTATATGATCAATCACAAAACTTCATTTAAAATCCTTTATACAAGGTATATCATTTTAAATCCCTTTCAGGTTACATCACAGAACATTTTTGGACTAAAAAGCCCACTATCAGTTTTTTGTTACTCAGTGCACATGAGTTATTCCACTAAATACCTGGGTAAAAATCATTTAGATGGTACACAATTTAGTATGTCTTACATTTTATTTAAAATTGTGTTGTGATGTTTGGTGTATTTCTCAGATAACCTCAGACAATGTCTGAACGGGTTTTAGATGGCAACAGTTGCCGTTAGAAATCGAAACATCAAAGATAAAGTATTTTTAATTAAAATTGTGGCTTAAGTATTTAATTGCCAAGTATTATTCTGTTCTCCGTGTATACTGTGTTTAGGAAACAGCCAAAAATATATTTACAATTATTCTAATAACAAATTCTGCTTACATCACTTCAACAATTCTATGCAACTAGTGAATGCAAAAAAACATACTTTCTTAGTATCTTATTCACATGATGCCTTTCCAATTGTATCTTTAATTCAAAGCTACAGCAAAAAAGTACAAAATGCAAATACTTACTTCTAAAGCTTTACAATGAACTCTATAAGCATCTACATCTAAGATTTTATTCGCCCATGTAAGAAACTCGTTTGTGATATACGCATCGTATTTCAATATTTTTTGTAATGCTGGTGGAACTCTACTAACTTTACCCTAAAAAAGATTTAGAATAGTGGAAGAAATTGTTGAAAGGTATTTTCAAAAATAATTGTATTGCATTTTTACCTCCGACATTTTGAAGTCTATAATATAAAGTCCAGCCAAGACTTATCTATAAATTAAATATTAATGAGTCACATATATTTAAAATATCTTTTTTGTTTTATTCACACAACTTGAAATTTGAACAATGACAGTTTAAAAGTGAGGTTATGGTTATGCTCGTTTTGACGTTTACATAGGGAGTGTATAAAAATTCCATTTGCCGGATTTTAAAAATTACATGTCCATAAAAAATAGAAAGATATCGAAAACAAGATTACTTAGCGATAAAAAGTTAACATTATATAGTTGTTAACCACGATAAAATATACTCGATAACATTATCTTTTATGGGTAGTGAGTGACACCGTTTGTTTGTGTGGAAAATAAGGATAAATTTATATTGTATCAGTCAAGTACCTATATTAAATTAAATACCTTAGGACAGGGCTTCCCAAACTTATTCGTACTGTGACGCCCTTGGGACTTTGCTATTTTTGCGACGCCCCCTCAACCCAACCCCCAATAATACTTACCAATTTTAATACTAGTAGCCTAGTAATACGTTGTAGTTATAAAAAAAGCATTATTTGAACATTTATAATTTTTATTAAAAGTTAAGAATGAAATCAAAACATAGGCATAAAAATGAACTGGATTATTATTGTAACTGGTTGGTTAATGTGAGGGATGTGCTTGCCTTTTTGAGCACAGCCTATAAAACTGGACCTCCAGTTTGGACACTCTCATTTCATTTTCTAAGTTTATGTTTGACCTGCACTTGTTTTTAATTACTGCAACTGGAGAAAACCCCGCTTCGCACAAGTGCAAAGTCATAAATGGTAATAAAACCTTTAATGCAGCAGTGCTGATGGCATGATATTCATGAGAAAGTGAGATCCAAAATGCAAACTGTTTGTCCTTGTTGTATTGCAGCTTTAGGCTGAAATCACAGGACAATTCTGTCAGTTGTTTTTCTTTCTCTGTTGTAAGTGTCGATGGCGTGGATGACAGGAAAGAGTTTCTGACCCACCCATATTCCTCCATATCTTCGGGGGATCAAGGATTTCTATCGATTTTTCTTGTAGAATACCTTGTAAAGCAGGGAAAGTCAATTGCTTGATCTTCTAATTTTCTTTTCCATAAGAGCAACCTTCTAAAGCCCAGTAATTTTATTTGTCAATTGCAGGATATGAGTATTTATGAGTATTGTTTCCCTGCAAAGACTTATTAAGATCATTTAATTTGTTAAATATGTCACAGCTGTATGCTAATTTTATTATAAACTCTGAATTAATAAAGTTTTGCTCATCATGATGTAATTCTGTATGTAGATATACGTGTAAAATTCATTTCTTAATTCGTATACACGTGCGAGTACGTTGCCTTTGGACAGCCAAGAGAGTTGCAATCATAAATTAAAGAGGTGTGTTCGGCCCTCATTTCTTCACAAAGTTTATGGAAGTATTGATTTCACGGGTCGTGGTTTAATATCGTTCATAACTTTAATAGTGCTATCCATCACAACACTTATGCACGTGTAACGCTCTTTGAAGCTAAGGCCTCTCTATTTATGATACAATGTGTCCATTTTACACTTGGAGCCTTGGTTTTGATAAAAGCTTGTAGTTCTCTATACTATCCGGACATCGCTCGGGCACCATCCATACACACGCCTACACAGTTATCCCAGTTAATATTATTTTTAGTGATATATGATTTTAAATGCTCGAATGAATCAAGAGCTTTATAACTTTCACATATTTTTCGGCAAAATAACAAATGCTCACATATATTTGTTTCTTGTATGTACTTTACATAACATATCAATTGAGCATCATCATTACTATCAGTCGCCTCGTCCAGTTGAATGGCAAATAAACCTAACAGTTTCCCCACAATTTGCTCATTAATATCTTCTGCCATGTAGTGAATAGGGCGACAAACCGTATTGAAAGAGGTACATTTTTCATTTCTTTAGCTGCCGATTCTCCAATCATCACTGTTACCATATCAACCGCTGCAGGTAAGATCAGTTCCTCAGCGATCGTATGTGGTTTTTTACTTTTGGCAATACACTAAGTTACCATGTAAGAGGCGAGCAATGCTTTGATAGGAATTAATGCCCTTAAAACTAAAGCCGTGGTTTGCTGTTTTAGCTCTCGCAATTTTCTTACAAAAAAGTCATTGGATTACCTTTTGTAAATGACTGTGAGTTGATTCCAAATACCGTTTTAGTTTATTAGGAAGCATAGCTTCAGCCGCCAACATTTTGTGACAAACAACACATTATGGAAGTTCTACATACTGTTACGATAAATAATGACTCATAATATCCAAACTGTAAATATACTTTTTCATTGGAGTATTTTCTAGAAAGAAGATCCACGGGCTTGACCCTCCGATAAAAAACCTATCGACCTGGCGTGACCTTCTAGTCTGTTCGAGGGGGGTCGCCGAAATTAAAGTCTAGCGGTTGTTTGGTATAAATAGAAATTTTATTGTAAAAAGTTTTCAGTCCGAAAATATAATTGTATAGAATATAAATTGTAATAAATGTAAAATAAATTAGTGTGATACTGAATTAATAAAGACTTTAATAAATTCTTAAGTGTTGTAAAAGTGTCGAACCTTTTATAATAAATAAAGACAATAAATTAGATTAATAAATACTGTTCAATACCCTTTAGTAATGCAGGTAAATCCAAAATTGTGTTATTGGTCGTCATATTTCTTATATTTCTTCTTTTTTACTTAAATTAACATCACCGCTCTCGCCTTATTCTTCACTTCGTTTTCTATTCTTTTGAATATAAGTAGGTATCCATTGTTGATACCAAAAAACTTTACGTGCTTAATAAAACAAAATAACAGACCATCGGGTAATTTTTAGATTAAACAATTTTTTGAATTATTTCGGATAATTCAAGGATCTATCGAAATATTCATGTCACTGAGTTTCTCAATCCAAGGGCCGTCATAAATAGAAGAGACATCTGCACACATTTCTGGTTTATCTAAGGCATCAAATGTACAAGCGTAGGTTACCTCGTACAATTTATGTCGTTGTTCAGAAATGCTTCTATCACCAAATAATGCCAATAACGCCTGATCCTTAGTTACATTTTCTTTCTAACGCGTAGTACTTGAGGTCAATGTATTAATTTTATTAACAGGCAAATTAAGGCACATCAAAATAGCATGTGATTTACAACATAATATACAATTCAAACGTCCTCTACATTTTTTGGAAGAATGTCCCACTTTCAGACATCGAAAACAGGCTTTCTTTTCTGACAATGTAAGACGTTTCTGTTCCATAGTAAATTTTTGTGCTTTAAATCAATTTGTACTGTCATGCTGCCCTTCCCAAAATATACACCTGTAAACCTCATAATTTACTAACCCAGCAGCGGTCGCTAAGGGTTGATCAGTTCCTTGCTTAGGTAATTTTACATTTTTCTTGGCAACAAGGCTATTGCATTTATATTTATTTTCAGTCGGTAAACCAAAACCTTTCGTTGTTAAATCAATTTTTTGTTCATTTTCAACTTCACTTTGTAAAAATCTCATTAGCCCATTAAATCTTGTTTTTAAAGTTATAACTTCTGCAGTTTCTGTGATATTTTCCATGGGCACGGAAACATAAGGCCTTAAAAATTGTGAAGATCTATGCCATAGTCGAATCATATCTTCTGGAAAACATGACATAATAAGAGGATACAATATCGCCGCATACTTGTCAGCAGTTATGCCTAAAGTCTCAAGTGAACGAAGTTGACTTTTAATCATATCATAAAGAGCAGAAATGTTACAATAACTACTAGAAAGAACTCAAAATTAACTTTAAGAGCTCTCTATTATAAACTTCAATCTGGAGATCCTCTCTGCAAACCTAGACTGCAAACTTTGAATAATTTTTGAGTAATTGTCGGTTACTGCAGGAAAACTCTCCACTAATCGTCTGGCCCTACTAGACTCTACAGTGACTTGTTTCAAATAAGCTATCTTATCAGTCAAATCAATTGATGGATCGTCATGCACTACTTTGAACTGTGACCAAAAAGGAAGTCAATCTTTTAAGTCTCCATTCAATTTCTTGAACTCGATTGGAGGTAATTTAAACTTGCGCTTACCTTTTATACTTGATGACTCTGAACTTACTGAACCTGGTCTGTCATCATATTTGTACTTAAGTTCAAAGTATCTTCCACTATATTTATCTTTTGCCTCCATCTCACTGATTAACTCTTCTTCGGAAGCTTCTTCCAATATACTTTCAAGTACTGCACTTTCCACTTCACAAAGCTCATTGTACTTTACTTGTAAAAGTTCCCACTGTACGTTAATTTGTTGCCAGGGTCGAGTGTCCACTGGTTCAGCTAACAAACGGTAAAAAACAGTAGCAACTTTCGTAAACGCACTACGAAGAAACGTTCTGCGTTTTTTATCTGATTCTCGCTTAAAAAGGTTAAGTTTGGCCGAGCCTCACGACAAAAACAAAAGTATTCACCGGAAAAAATTTTGCACTAAAATAAGCAAAAATAACTAACTTTTAAGTACACCCGTATATAAGTCCTGTCACGGTCGGCCAATATTACGTTTGGAATGTCCTACGATTAATTTTCGCAAGAGACTCCTGGTTCGAAAAAATACAAAATTAAATTTCTATTACAAAAAAATTACTTTTGTATTAAAATACACAAATGTGACTTCTCCAAATCGGAGGTTGGATATCATCATGACTACCTTTACTTTATCTACTGCTGCTCTAAAGAGTTCTATAGAACTGCATTTAAACCAATCCCTTAAATTCTTCAACCATCACAACTCTCCTTCTTCCTCCTTTTATCTTTCCTTGTATTATCAGCCTTAGCAGTTCATATCACTATTCCCTTATTACGTGTCCCAGATATTGTAACTTTCTTATTTTATTGTGTTTATTTCGCATTCTTTGTCCATATCTCGCAATACTTCCGTGTTAGTTTTCTTCTGTGTCCATGCTATTCTAAGCATCCGCCTGTAACACCACA